ATGCCTGGCTTCAAAGGAGAGGGCCCAGATGTGGATGTGAACCTGCCCAAGGCTGACATTGATGTCTCAGGACCCAAGGTGGACATTGATATTCCAGATGTGAATATTGAAGGTCCAGATGCAAAGCTGAAGGGCCCCAAGTTCAAGATGCCTGAAATAAATATCAAAGCTCCCAAGATCTCCATGCCTGATGTTGACCTGGATTTGAAAGGACCCAAAGTAAAAGGAGATTTTGATGTGTCTGTCCCTAAGGTTGAAGGGACTTTGAAAGGCCCAGACATAGATCTTAAAGGTCCCAGTCTGGATTTTGAAGGCCCCGATGCCAAACTCAGTGGCCCATCTTTAAAGATGCCATCACTGGAGATATCTGCTCCTAAAGTATCTGCACCTGATGTTGATTTGCATCTCAAGGCACCAAAAATTGGATTTTCCAGTCCGAAGTTAGAAGGTGGTGCAGTGGACCTCAAGGGACCCAAGGTTGAAGCTCCGAGCTTAGATGTTCACATGGACAGCCCGGATATTAACATAGAAGGGCCAGATGTTAAAATTCCCAAATTTAAGAAACCCAAGTTTGGATTTGGAGCAAAAAGCCCCAAAGCTGACATCAAGTCACCTTCTTTAGATGTCACCATTCCTGAGGCAGAGCTGAACCTTGAGACTCCTGAAATCAGTGTTGGTGGCAAGGGCAAGAAAAGCAAGTTCAAGATGCCTAAAATTCATATGAGTGGTCCTAAAATTAAGGCCAAAAAACAGGGATTTGATGTGAATGTTCCTGAGGGTGAAATTGATGCCAGTCTCAAGGCTGCTGACGTAGATGTCAATATCTCAGGGCCGGATGCTGCTCTCAAAGCCGACGTGAAATCACCCAAAACCAAGAAACCGATGTTTGGAAAAATGTACTTCCCAGATGTAGAGTTTGACATTAAATCACCTAAATTTAAAGCTGAGGCCTCTCTCCCTAGCCCCAAATTGGAGGGTGAACTCCAGGCACCTGATCTGGAACTTTCTTCACCAGGGATTCACTTTGAAGGTCCTGACATCAAGGCGAAGGCTCCCAAGGTCAAGATGCCAGGTGTGGACATCTCAGTGCCAAAAATAGAAGGTGACCTGAAAGGCCCCAAAGTGCAGGCAAACTTGGATGCGCCTGACATCAACATCAAAGGCCCAGATGCTAAAGTCAAAACACCGTCCTTCGGCATTTCTGCCCCTCAAGTCTCCATCCCTGATGTGAATGTGAACTTGAAAGGACCAAAGATAAAGGGTGATGTCCCCAGTGTGGGACTGGAAGGACCAGACATAGATCTGCAAGGTCCAGAAGCAAAAATTAAGTTCCCCAAGTTTTCCATGCCCAAGATCGGCATCCCTGGTGTGCAAATGGAGGGTGGGGGAGCCGAGGTCCATGGCCAGCTACCCTCTCTCGAAGGAGACTTGAGAGGACCAGATGTGAAGCTTGAAGGGCCTGATGTTTCTCTAAAGGGGCCAGGAGTAGACTTGCCTTCAGTGAAGCTCTCTATGCCAAAAGTCTCTGGGCCTGACCTTGACCTGAACTTGAAAGGACCAAGTTTGAAGGGAGACCTGGATGCCTCTGTTCCCAGCGTGAAGGTGCAGGCTCCGGGGCTCGACCTCAGCGGTGTCGGTGGCAAAGTGCAGGTGGGAGGAGACGGAGTGAAAGTGCCAGGGATCGATGCCACAACAACGCTTAACGTGGGGGCACCAGATGTGACACTGAGGGGACCAAGCCTGCAGGGAGACCTGGCTGTCTCTGGTGACATCAAATGCCCTAAAGTATCCGTAGGCACTCCTGATCTAAGCTTGGAGGCCTCCGAAGGCGGCATTAAACTTCCCAAAATGAAGTTGCCCCAATTTGGCATCTCTACTCCAGGGTCCGACTTGCATATCAAGGGGCCACAGGTTTCTGGAGAACTGAAGGGGCCTCAGATTTCAGCACCGAATGTGGACTTGAACTTGGAAGGACCAAAAATGAAAGGGAGCCTTGGGGCCACTGGAGAGATGAAAGGCCCCACTGTGGGAGGAGGCCTTCCAGGCCTAGAAGGAAACCTCCAGATGCCTGGAATTAAGTCCTCTGGATGTGACGTGACCCTTCCGGGTGTGAATGTGAAACTCCCAACTGGGAAGATTTCTGGTCCTGAAATCAAAGGTGATCTGAAAGGTTCAGAAGTAGGTTTCCATGGGGCTGCTCCTGATATCAGTGTGAGGGGGCCTTCCTTTAATATGGCATCTCCTGAGTCAGAGTTTGGCATCAGCTTGAAGGGTCCAAAGATCAAAGGAGGTGTGGATGTTTCCGGGGGTGCCAGTGCCCCCGACATCAGTCTTGGTGAAGGGCATGTGAGTGTTAAAGGCTCCGGGGGTGAGTGGAAGGGACCCCAGGTCTCCTCTGCTCTCAACTTGGACACATCTAAGTTTGCTGGGAGCCTTCATTTCTCAGGACCAAAGGTGGAAGGAGGTGTGAAAGGAGGTCAGATTGGACTCCAGGCTCCTGGGCTGAGTGTGTCTGGGCCTCAAGGTCACTTGGAAAGTGGATCTGGAAAAGTAACATTCCCTAAGATGAGGATGCCCAAATTTACCTTCTCTGGCCGTGAGCTGGTTGGCAGAGAAGTGGGAGTGGATATTCACTTCCCTAAAACAGAGGCCAGCGTCCAACCTGGTGCCGGACAAGGCGAGTGGGAAGAGTCCGAAGTGAAACTTAAAAAGTCCAAAATCAAAATGCCCAAGTTTAATTTTTCCAAACCTAAAGGGAAAGGTGGTGTCACTGGCTCACCGGAAGCATCCATCTCTGGGTCCAAAGGTGATCTGAAAAGTTCAAAGGCCAGCCTGGGCTCTCTGGAAGGAGAAGCAGAGGCCGAAGCCTCTTCACCGAAAGGCAAATTTTCCTTATTTAAAAGTAAGAAGCCACGGCACCGCTCAAATTCATTCAGTGATGAAAGAGAGTTCTCTGCGCCTTCCACCCCCACGGGGACTCTGGAGTTTGAAGGTGGGGAAGTGTCGCTGGAAGGCGGGAAAGTGAAAGGGAAACAGGGGAAGCTGAAATTCGGTACCTTTGGTGGATTGGGGTCAAAGAGCAAAGGTCATTATGAGGTGACTGGGAGTGATGATGAGACAGGCAAGTTACAGGGGAGTGGGGTGTCCCTGGCCTCTAAGAAGTCCCGACTGTCCTCCTCTTCGAGCAACGACAGTGGGCCTAAGGTTGGCATCCAGCTTCCCGAGGTGGAGCTGTCAGTTTCCACAAAGAAAGAGTAGCAGGCCTTTGTATGTGTGTACATATATATATATATATAACAAAACATCAAACTCGGGTGTGTTCCTATATCAGCTCCAAAGAGAAACACACTGACAGCCTCAGCAATCATGCAAAGATCTTGCCTGACGCAGTGGCAAGCGCTGAAAAACCGACCACCTGTCGGCTCCTGGATCTATACAGACAGGTCAGGAGTTCCAAGTTCGTCCAGCCTGTGTGCAAAGTCAACAGTATTTGCCTTAAGATTTCATTTCTTTTTATTTTTTTTGCATTGACTGCTGAGAGCTCCTGTTTACTAAGCAAGCTTTTGTGTTTATTATCCTCATTTTTACTGAACATTGTTAGTTTCGGGGTAATGGAAACCCACTTTTTCATTATAATGACTTTGGGGGCTTTTGTTAGTAAGGGAGGGTGGGGGTGATGGGTTGCAGACGGAGGTCAGGTCTCCCTCTTTCCTGAGATTGGATCTGTTCCAACAGCAAACACCCACAGATGGCTCAGAGGTGGCGGCAGTCAGGGTGTGGGTGTTTTTAGGGTTTTGTTTTTTTTTTTTTTTTTTGCTTTTTTCACCCAGGATTGATGGTCCCAGCCAGTTTGGTGCTGATGGTGAGAGGAAATTAGAACCTGTTTGCAAATTGTCCAACCCACCAACTCAACATGAGGGGCCTCCATTTTCTGGGTTTTGCAGGGGAAATGTTTATTCATGATCGCCATGTTCCTGATATTAGTTCTGATTTCTTTTTAACAAATGTTATCATGATTAAGAAAATTTCCAGCACTTTAATGGCCAATTAATTGAGAATGTAAGAAAATCGATGCTGTACCAGGCAAATAAAGCTGTTTATTAACCTTGATGTCTTATGCCTTTGCATTCTGTGTTGGGGACAGGCGGGAAGCCTGGGGAAGCTGTACAGCCAGCTGTGACTATTCAGATCGGATCCATCTGGTGGCATTGCTGGTTTCATCAGTCACTTGAGGGCAGTGACTTTTGGGAGGTGGTGGGAGAAAATCACTGCTTCTTGATTCTCATGGTGAGGTTGCCTGCGCCATTGCTGAAAAATCAAGAGGAGGCTTGGCCTCAGGATCCCCTCACCTACTTTGCATCCTCAGATATGAATATATAATTCAGAAATGGTTCTAAATGGGGGCATGATTGATTGAGCTTATGAGTTTGAGACCATCCTGGGCTACATGGTGAAACCCCATATCTACAAAAAGTACAAAAATTAGCTGGGCAGGGTGGTCGAGCTTGGGAGGTGGAGGTTGCAGCCAGCTGAGATTGTGCCACTGCACTGCAGCCTGGGCAACAGAGCAAGTCTCCATCTCAGAAAAACAAACAACAACAACAACAAAAAACAAAAACACTAGCCCAGCGTAGCGCTCGCCTATAGTCTCAGCTACTCAGGAAGCTGAGGCACTTGAGCCTGGGAGGTGGTGGCTTCAGTGAGCCGAGATCACACCACTGCACTCCAGCCTGGTGGAGGTTGCAGTGAGCCAAGATCGTGCCATTGCACTCCAGCCTGGGTGACAGACTCCACTGACAGAGCGAGACTCTGTCTCCAAAAAAAAAAAAAGAAAAAGAAAAGAATAACCAGGACCATGTCCTCATCCTCTTGTTTTTTCTGTTTGGTAAGTTTGAATTTTTATACATCGAGGTTTCTTAAACTAGCCACGGTTATATGAGACGTATTTAAGGTATGATCATAAAGAAATGCTCCGGTTTTTCCCTAAACAACCACACATACATCCCAATGGCTGTTCTGCTCTCAGTGTCACCTTGGGAAGCTCCATACTTACTTCGGCAAAAAATCTACTGTTGGGCCGGACGTGGTGGCTCGTGCCTGTAATTCCAGCACTTTGGGAGACTGAGGTGGGTGGGTGACTTGAGGTCAGGAGTTTGAGACCAGCCTGGCCAATATGGCAATATCCCGTCTCTACTAAAAAAAATACAAAAATTAGCTGGGCATGGTGGCCCATGCCTGTAATCCTAGCTACTCAGTGGCTGAGGCAGAAGAATCATTTGAATCCGGGGCGAGACTCCAACTGAAAAAAAATAAAGGGCTGGCTGCAATGCCTTACACCTGTAATCCTAGCACTTTGGGAGGTTGAGGAGGGTGGATCACAAGGTCAAGAGATCAAAACCATCCTGGCCAACATGGCGAAACCTGGTCTCTACTAAAAATACAAAAATTAGCTCTGCTTTGTGGCGGGCGCCTGGAATCCCAGCTTCTTGGGAGGCTGGGTCAGGAGAATGGCTTGAATCTGGCATGCGGAGCTTGCAGTGAGCCAAGATCGTGCCATTGCTCTCCAGCCTAGGTGACAGAGCGAGATGCCATCTCAAAAAACAAAAACAGCCGGGTGTGGTGGCTCACGCCTGTAATCCTAGCACTTTGGGAGACCGAGGTGGGTGGATCACCTGAGGTCAGGACTTCAAGACCAGCCTGTCCATCATGGTGAAACCCCATCTTTTAAAACAAAATCAAAAACAAAACAAACAAAAAAAACAAGGCTGGTTAATTAGGTGGACGGGCTGTTTTGGGTCAAAAGCAAGGTGTGATTATGTGTGTGACAACTTTCCTGTGTGGTTGGGAAGTTGTCTCAAATGTTTTGAGCAAAGGCAGCACTGTTGAAATATTGCTATGTCTCCAGCACCCGAAAGCAAAAGGCACAGCACCCACGAGGACTTTGCAGGTTGTTAATATACATGTCCCGCTTCAGAGTGCAACCTTAGCCCTTTGGTATTTTGCATTAGCTGTGATATTAAGAAACATTATGTGGGAGATGCAGCTAAATGTGTACCTGAACTTTCTTTTTTTTTTTTTTTCAAAGTGTATTTATTTTGAATGCAGACCTACAGAGAAGTTACAAGAATAATACAATGAATATTCATATAGCTTTCACTTGGATTCACCAATTGCTAACATTTACTTCGTTTGCTTTAATCTCTCTCTCTCTCTGTGTGTGTGTGTGTGTGTGTGTGTGTGTGTGTGTGTGTGTGTGTGT